AGGTCAGTTGAAGACGTTAAGTTTGTTAGCCAACCTTTAACACTACCAATCTGTAATCTTCATAACGACTTCGCTGCAAATAAATTTAAACGACATAGCGAATTATTTGGTGGGGAATGTAAACGTGGTTTGATAATTGGTTCTTCGGGTGCCGGAAAAACAAACGTAATGTTAACTTTATTGACAGCTCTCAACGGGTTGCGCTTTTTGAATGTATATTTGTGCTCTAATTCACTCTACCAAATCAAATACGAATTTCTACGACAATTACTTAAACCTATCCGCTCTTGCGGCTATTATGAATACTCAGATGTCGGACGATTTCTACCACCGTCAAAGGTGAAAGAATATTCAATTATTATTTTTGATGATATTGCTCCTACAGAGCAACAGATTATCAAGGAATATTTTTCATACGGTCGTCATAGAAACGTTGATACTTTTTTACTCGCTCAAAGTTATAGCGCCATTTCCAAGCAGCTTTTACGTGACAATTGCAACCTTTTAGTTTTATTTAAACAAGATCTCACTAACTTGAAACATATTTACAACGATCATTTGCTAGGGGACATTACGTGGGATGATTTTGTCAGAATTTGTCGAACTTGTTGGGATACACCGCACGGTATATTAGTTATTGATTTAGATTGCGATAAAAATAACGGACGCTATCGGAAAGGTTTCGATGAGTACATTATACTGTAAAACCATTGACTTTACGACTGCATGCTCAGTCTCTGTGCGATCATTACACTATCACGTTGAACTATGAATCGTAATGTTGCACAACAGTTAATAGCTGCGCGAGAAGATGTTAAACATAAAATACGCACTTTGAAAGGAGATATAAAACAGAAGCAGTCCATTGCCGAAGCTCAACTCGCTCCACTGAAAGAACCTCTGACAGATATTTCCAAAAAATTACAAACTGTCAATTTATTAGCGCTCGACAATAAATTCGGGATAAAACGTGATTTATTTACCCCGAAAAAGGAGCAGTCACCAGATATCTCAGCCTTACTGGCTGACTTGCAGAAACCTTCTAAAGGACTTAAACTGGAAACTCCTAGAGTGAAACCTCAACGTAGGGTTACGTCAACACCCATTAAACCGGGAGCTAGCATGGATGTTTCACCGGAACTCGCACGGAGTCCGCAATTTCTCAGCGACGAAGAGGTGTTCGAGGGTCGAGATACTACACCTGAGTTTTCTGTTCGTGAGTCAGACACATCTTTAGATGTCTACGAGCGGGACGCTAGGGAGCAGTTGGCGCGCATGAAAGAGAATATGGAGGGAATGGTGGAACAGACAGTTATTCGAGAAGCTTTAGGACAGCTGGACCCCTTACCACGTACCTATGTTACGGGTTTAACAGTAGATGTAAATAACGAGTTCGATCAAACTTACGGTGTTCGTGCACTTACCGATGGATTGTATATCGCAAATCAACCAATAACGTTTGACGGGAAAAACATTTTGGTGGGTGAATTTACGTATACAGGAACACCGGGGTTATACGAGTTGTTATTCAAAAATAAACCGGGTAAATTTACTTTACCAGATGCGAGAAATTACAAAGATATCTTACAACGTTCGAATGTACATAAAAGAGATTATGACGCTTCAAAAAGTGTTTAGATTAATTAGAATTATTGTTACCTGCAACTTGGGTTGCCTATTGCTTTGAAAATTTAGTGTTCGTCGATACAAACCAATAAAAAAAAATGAGTGAGTAGCAAAAATCTCGTTTCGCTGGCATCACGCCGTATTCATCGTCTAAGATAAATAATTAATAAACATCGAATAAATCAAAAACTAAAAGAATTCGTGTTAACCAGCGCGAACCAGATAAAATCAAAAACATAAATGGTCCTTCAAGCCGGATTTGAAGAAATTTAAGAATTATTGAAAAATCGCCAAGCCGAATTGAACGCGACGCCGCCGCCATTATTGTGTTGTGAGTACCTTTCCTTTTTTTCCAATTTCCTATCTTTCCCTATCGTTTTCGATCTGAACCAAGTTTTTATTTGCATGCAAAATGAGTCAACTAGATAATTTAATTAGAAAGCGGGGGGTTATAAAAGCAAAACTAACGAATTTTGTTAAATTTATTAATAAATTTGAATCTGATATCACGGATGGCGAAAAAGATCATGAGTTATTATTATTAGAATTACAAAATCGTTATGATCGCGCAATTAAAATAATAGATGAATTTGAGGATGTTCAATATGAAATTGATGTGTTGGGCGTCGATAGTGAGACGCAGGATGACGAACGAGAAACATTTGAAGGGTCATTTTACTCTAGCACCGCGAAAGTCAAGCGCCTACTTTCGAACAAAACCATGTGTAGCGATTCATTATTTGTAGCGAGTCCTACTCCGGATCAGAGTGTGCGACTCCCGGTAATCGACTTACCGAAATTTAAAGGCGAATATGAAACCTGGTTGGAATTTCGCGATATATTCGAATCGTTAATACATAACAACAACGCTATAAACAATATTCAAAAATTTCATTATCTGATATCCGCATTATCCGGGTCCGCTCGTGAAGTAATATCAAGCTTAGAAATAACTCAAATAAATTATGACGTTGCTTGGGATTTACTATGTACACGTTATAATAATTCGCGAATTTTAATTCAAATTCATCTTAAATCATTATTTGATATAGAAAAAATTGCTTTAGAAAAAGCACATTTAATTCGAAAATTTATTGATGATATTCGTAAACACATGCGCGCTTTAGCTGCTTTAAAAGAGCCTACGGAGAACTGGGACACGATTATTATTTATTTAGCTACAACTAAATTAGACAGTGGCTCTAACCGTGAATGGGAACAACATAAAGTTTCATTAAAAGGTCCCGAATTAGAAGATTTACTAGAACTATTAAAAAATCGTGCGGATCTATTAGAAACACTCGATCACATAGAAGTAAAGCAACCAATAGCTTCAAAATCAAAGACAAACGCGCGTACGAAATCATTTATAGTGGCGAATGAATCAAACGTTAGAGTCTGTGCAATTTGTAAAGGCGAACATTACATACAAGATTGCCCAAATTTCGCAAAACTTTCCGTACAAGGACGAATTGATCAGGTTAAACGTTTAAAACTTTGCATCAATTGTCTTAGAACCGGTCATTATCTTCAGCAATGTCGCTCAAGTTCTTGTAAAAAATGTAAAGCTAGACATCACACATTACTTCATTTAGAATATAATCGACCAGAACCGCCCTCACAGTCATCAACGACTACGCAGGCTCACAACATACATTTTGCATCTAATACAAACGCGTATTCAAACGTCTTACTTTCCACAATCATAATTCATGCCTATAACAAACATAACCGAAAATATTTGATTCGAGCACTTTTAGATCCGGGTAGCCAAAGCAGTTTTATTTCGTCGGAAACTCGTCAACGGCTAGGATTAAGTGAAAGAGAAACACATGTTAATGTCGCAGGTATAAATCAGTTACAATCTACAATTAATAGTTCGTGTTTGATACAAATTTATTCTCGTTATACTGATTTTTCGCTGAAACTTCGTTGTCTTGTCATTGGGGAAATCACGAGTGATTTGCCAAATTTCGTAGTAAACGCGAATGATCTACAAATTCCAACTAATCTTCGACTAGCAGATCCATCGTTTAACAAACCAGACAAAATAGATATGTTGATTGGAGCAGATTATTTTTGGGAATTATTGTGCGTCGGTCAAGTTAAGCTTCCTACTGGTCCAATAATGCAAAATACGCGTTTCGGTTGGGTTATTTCAGGGCCTGTAGTTTCCGCAAGCGCAAAATTGACCTCACATTGCAATTTTTCTAAACTCTCGGTTACTTCTGACGTGAATGATAAGAGTTTCTCGTCAATATTATGTCAACAATTAGAACGCTTTTGGGAAATCGAAGCGGTACAAACTCAAGCTCCAATGTCAAATGTAGCAATGATTTGTGCAGAACATTTCAACAAAACGACATATCGCGCACCTGATGGCCGATTTACTGTAACAATTCCTTTTAAAGAAAGCATAGAACGATTGGGTGAGTCCCACAAAAGCGCGGAACGTAGATTATTAAGTATGGAGCGCAAATTCAAAAGACTTCCTGAGTTTGGTGAACAATATAAAAGGTTCATGCACGAATATCTCGAATTAAAGCACATGCGTAAGATAAATTGCAAAACATCAGCTGATTTGCATTATTATTTACCACATCACGGGGTTATAAACGAATCTAGCACTACTACCAGATTGCGAGTTGTTTTCGATGGTTCTTGCTCAACAACTACTGGGTATTCCCTTAATGATTTACAAATAGTTGGTCCTACTTTACAGCCTGATTTGTTCAGCGCTTTAATCAGATATCGTAAATATATTTACGTAATGGCTGCAGATATTAGAAAAATGTATCGGGCGTGTTTAATAAATCCCGAACAGACAAAACTTCAGCGAATTCTTTGGCGTGATTCTTCTGAACTTCCAATAGACACATACGAATTATTAACTGTGACATACGGTCCAGCATCAGCTAGTTATTTAGCCACGCGTTGCCTAAAACAAATAAGCTTGGAATGCTCCGATCCGGTTGTAGCAAACGTTATTGGTAACCACTTTTATGTCGACGATCTATTGACTGGAGCAAACTCTCTAGATGAACTTAGTTATATCATTCGCGAGGTTCAGAGCAATCTTGAAAAAAGCGGATTTCAATTAGCCAAATGGACGTCAAACGACCCACAACTTTTGCAAGAATTTACAGAAAGTAATAGTTCAGAGTCAGTTGATCTTGGTCGAAATGAGAATACCCGTACTCTAGGTTTATTGTGGAATTCTACCGAAGATGAATTTCATTACAGAATAAAGATAAACTCAGATAATTCGTTAACAAAAAGAGCTATTCTTTCCGACATCGCGCAAATTTTTGACCCACTCGGATTACTATGTCCTGTTATAATTAAAGCAAAAATCATACTACAAAAAATCTGGCAAACCGGTCTAGATTGGGATGAACCATTACCTAACAGCTTGTACACCAGTTGGCTAAAGTTTCGCGACAAGCTGTCTTGCCTGAATTCCGTACGAATACCGCGTTGTATTTCATTAAAACAATCAAAAATCATCGAAATACATGGCTTTTCGGACGCATCAACTCAAGCGTATGGTGCTTGCGTATACCTACGTTCATTTGAATCGCATAAAAATATTTCAGTTCAATTGGTTTGCGCAAAATCTCGGGTTGCGCCGTTGAAGAGAGTTACAGTACCGCGGTTAGAGTTATTGGGCGCATTGTTACTCTCTGATTTAATAATCAAAGTAAATGTAGCATTAGGATTGGACATATCGCGAATAGTCTGTTGGACTGATTCTAGTGTAGTTTTGGGATGGTTGGCTATGGATCATTCGAAATTACAAGTCTTTGTAGGAAATCGAATTGCTCGTATTTTGGAAAAAACATGTGTTGAAAATTGGAGATATGTAGTATTGTTACGGGGGATGGATTGCGCCGAAGAAGAAACAACAGTTGTTGAATAAAACGAAATAATTTATTTACAAAAATATGTACAAAAAAAAACCCTCAAAGGTTTTTTTTTTTTAGACGAAAGGGGTCGTCTTCGAATTGGCGGTTGAAGTGCTGGCTTGTTGTCGCTGCTGTTGTCGCTTCGGAGTTCGGTTGGAATTCACCGCTGATGGAAACCCGGCCGCCTTAAATAGGCGCCCTTGGGTAAAACTCTATCAACCGGGCGTTGTGGTTGGTTGGCGACCGTCCGATCCGTAGGTCGGGTTGACGACCAATGGCCAAGCAGATCGAACGGCGCTCAATTCGTACTTGGTGACACCCCCTCCCTCAAGNAGAAAATCAGAGAACACTCAATTTAGGATTCAGAACATTCTTAAGCAACATGATGGGGTATGTTTTGGTGCCGAGAACGGCTGTCTAGAACGTTTGGTCACTTTACTATGGCACGTTAACTTTTCGAAATTTGAAAGTACCATAACGTACTATTATTTACATTATTTTAAATGGCATCTCCCACATTTTATTACTTACAAGGGAAGTATCAGAACTGTCCCTCACCGATTTTGTTGAAATTTGGTACAGCGATAGTATGGCCAAAAATAAGTTTTACGTATTTTTTTATACGTGCTAATAAAGCCCCTGGGGCGAGTTAGAAGGGTTGGAAATCGGGGCGAGTTAGGAGGGTTGGAAATCGGGGCGAAATATATATATATTCGCTTATAGGCTAAAAACGAAAATAGCTGTCGAAATGTGGTAAATGTAAACTGATATTCATTTTCAAAGAGCTTTCCATTGATACATCACACATATATTTGAAGACTTCAGGGGGTAAACTACCTCTAGTTTCTTGGATATTTTAAAAACTACCCTGTCGATTTTGGCGATATTATGTATACTTATAGTACGTTTAAGAATATTAATGACGTGTTTTTTCTTATTTGCCTCTGACCATCCCCGGCAAAGTTACGGGGTATGATAGATAACCCCATCCCTACTGTTACACTTTTGAACAATATTTTGAAGAAAACCATTAATTAGATGTAAATTAAGATTTACGCAGTAAAATAAACCCTATACGACATTAAGGGCTGGCTGGGGTTAACTACCCTAACCACCCCAAAAATTTCTTTTTTTACGAAAATTGTTTGTCGATTTTCGTGCAATTTACCACGATGATTTTTTTATACGTTAGGTAGTACTATTGTAAGAACTTACAAGGGTTAGAAGTTTGGGGTAGAAAACATATTTTCGCTAATAACTTTCATACTCCTACAGAAAAAGCTTTCTTATCCTTATTCCATTTAAATAACACAAAAGTTAGGATAATTATATAAATATTTATTAATAATGAGTTAAAAAGCAACTGAAAAAAAAAATGGTTAAGTATCACAAATTGTATTCTACATTGTTAGAATCCTCTGGTACGTTTGGACCGAGGGTAATAAATACAATGTTCAAAGCAGATAACATATTCGTTTTGACATCAATGTCTGGTAAACTGAATTCTGCTCATGTGAAAAATTGGCTACAAAATGTCTATTTCCCAAACACCGGACCTAAATCATTACTATTACTGTATTCTTGGAGTGGCCACTGCCCTGAAATTATTAGTGAAGTAACTCCATCGGATGTTAAGTTTAAATATTTGTCTATACCTGCAGGGACAACAGGTCAAATTCAACCCCTGGATGTATTTGGTTTTAGAATATGGAATAATTTCATTAGAAGATTTTCTGATCAAATTATTCTCTATCAGTACGATGTCAATTTGCATCAGCGAGATAATATTTTAAAATTGCAATCCCTAACGCATAACCAGTTGTCTTCCCCACGATTTATTAATGTTTTTAAATACGCCTGATTTGCATCTGGATATATAGAGGAGAGACCAGAACAGTTTGAAAATCCCGTGGAGGTTTGCTTTTCCAATGAAAAACCTACGTGCGATATCTGTGGAGATATAGCTGTTATAACTTGTGCATGGTGTAAACAATCGTTGTGTTTAAAACATTTTTTCCATGATTTTCATTATTGCCAACAATATATTGAATAAAAAAAGTAAAAAAAAAGAAATTAAATTAATAATGTAGAATACAATTTGTGATAGTCAACCATTCTTTTGTCAGTTACTTTTTAACTCATTATTAATAAATATTTATATAATTATCCTAACTTTTGTGTTATTTAAATAGAATAAGGATAAAAAAGCTTTTTCTGTAGGAGTATGAAAGTTATTAGCGAAAATATATTTTCTACCCCAAACTTCTAACCCTTGTAAGTTCTTACAATAGTACTACCTAACGTATAAAAAAATCATCGTGGTAAATTGCACCAAAATCGACAAACAATTTTCGCAAAAAAAAATAATTTTTGGGGTGGTTAGGGTAGTTAACCCCAGCCACCCCTTAATGTCGTATAGGGTTTATTTTACTGCGTAAATCTTAATTTACATCTAATTAATGGTTTTCTTCAAAATATTGTTCAAAAGTGTAACAGTTTATCACATTATTCTTAAGGAAAGGGGTTATCTATCATACCCCGTAACTTTGCAGGGGATGGTCAGAGGCAAATAAGAAAAAACACGTCATTAATATTTTTAAACGTACTATAAGGACACATAATATCGCCAAAATCGACAGGGTAGTTTTTAAAATATTCCAAAAAACTAGGGGTAGTTTACCCCCTGAAGTCCTCAGATATATGTGTGATATATCAATGGAAAGCTCTTTGAAAATGAATATCAGTTTACATTTACCACATTTCGATACCTATTTTCGTTTTCAGCCTATAAGCGAATATATATATATTTCGCCCCGATTTCCAACCCTTCTAACTCGCCCCAGGGGCTTTATTAGCACGTATAAAAAAATACGTAAACCTTATTTTTGGCCATACTATCGCTGTACCAAATTTCAACAAAATCGGTGAGGGACAGTTCTGATACTTCCCTTGTAAGATCAGATCCTACGGATAAGATTATTAAACAAACTAGAAAACTTATAAACAAATGTAAAGAAACTTTAATCGAGTTAACACCAAAATTTAAAAATTTTAAAAACTCGACATTTTTTAACAGTTCATTTTTTATTCATATGAACCCTATTCTCCCAAGGCTTTATTCACTTTCTAAGTTACATAACATCGATATGCCTATTCGACCTATAACTAGCTTTAATTCTTCACCTACTTCTAAACTGGTTGAGTTTTTGTTTAACATTTTCAAGATTATCCGATTTCAAAGCTAAATTTTCTGTAAATAATTTTGTTTTTGATTTTTATCTGGTTCGCGCTGGTTGACACGAATTCTTTTAGTTCTTGATTTATTCGTTGTTTATTAATTTAGACGAATTTAGACACGACGCCGCCGTCGAACGTAGGGAAGCACAACGGGCCGTAGCACCTCATCTACGTGTTGTTGACCCATCATCGTCTGCTGTACACGTAGGAGACGTGTACGTCCGCCATGTGTAATCGCACCCCATACCATAATACTCAGTTGGCGGTAGATAGGGCGTTCTTGCACATACTGCTCGAGAAGTCGCTCACAACGTGTCCGACGAATCAAAATTCGCACGTCACCGGTGCTCAATTCGAATGTTGGTTCGTCGGAAAACAAAATCGAAGTGCTAGAAATTTGGAAATATTTTAGTCGAAGAGAACGCAATTGATAATACTTAAGTCTGAATTCGCAAATTTTTATTTTGGCCAGAAACCCAGAAACGTCTAGTGACCAGTCTCGCTGAGGCACCCTGTATAAGACCTCAATGGATAAAGTTTATCTAAATTATTGGTTATTGAGGATACATTTCCAAGCAATCCCATCAAAATAAGAAAAACATGATATTTATTTTTAAATTACTTTATTTCAGGATCTTAATCGTTAAATTTCACAAGCAATATTAAAGTATAAAATTTATTCAAAAATGAATACGTTAACACGTTTTTAAACACATCTAAAATTAACAACTTATATTCTAAAATTTCGAGTAGATGTAACATTACTTTTCGTCCTAATTCTACCTTCACCTCTATTACTAATCTTACCAATTAAATCCAAAGACAAAAAGTCGTTTTTAATAACTTCAATTTTCGTCGAGCAATTATCAACAGGTCCATTTCTTCTTACTTTAACCGCACTTCTTGGATTTAAGAAATAATTCACTCTTCGTTTTTCTTCGGACTTTTGAGCAGCCCTCAGCCGTCTTCGAAGAGTTGTGTGTCCTTGACAAACATTCATCACCTTATTATAAGTTACGGCTGCAAGCAATAGAGATTTCGGATCAAGAAAACCTAAAATTATTATTATTAGTTCCATGGGAAACTCCAAAAAGAAAGGCACTTGGTTTGTGTTGATTGTTTTCGGAAA